TCATCTGCAGAGTCTTGCGAAAAATCAGCCGGATAGAAATGACGGGGAAGCCCAACAGTATGCCCCGGGAAGTGAATACGGTAGCGGAGGTGATGCGGTCACATTTGTGGCAAAAAAGAAGGCCAAGGTGACAAATGAAAGAGTGAAGGAGAAGCAAGTGGTGGAGCAGAAGAAGACCAAGATGAATGGTGGGAGGGTGAGGTTGAAAGTCAGAGTAGGTCCTGCAACTTTATGATGATTCGAACAAAGATGGGTATATCTGACCTGGCTAACCAACACAACAGACGTGGCCTTCATTCCTTCTCAAAATATGGATCTCTAACAAACAGTATAGTTAGTTATTAGTTCTTCATCATCCCGGAAGGATCGCGGCAACAAACAGTAGCGGTTAAAAATAGGTGCATTCTTTGTGCAGGATGACTGTCTGGCGGGCCACCAAATTGGGCCGTTGGCTTGAAAGTCTTGCCCTGTAATTTAGCCACCAGCTATTTGATTTGATGTTCAAATTAAAGCGCATTATTATTCTTTGTTATAAAAAATGTCTAACACTCCTTACTTTCTATTTCTTACATCAATGCCAAATGTCCCCACCTTTTCGTCCAGTCAAACTTCCACCCTAACTTTTAGCATATGTCTGGGAACAATTGCCACGAGATCTTTGACTTTGATTCCGATTTCGATATCTTTTTAACGTATCGAATCAGAATTTGAATTTTATGTTGTATACGACATTCTTTTCTTGTGTTTGGCATGGCTTCTTTACAAAATATAGAATATTGTGTATGTGGCACGATAAGTGTGTATTCCTGCCCGCCGCATGTATTATTAAGGGTATGTTTGGCAAATGGCTGTTAGCTGTTGTTGTTAGCTGGTTTTGTCAGCTGTTCCCTAACAGCTGGTTGTGTTAGCTGTTTTGACCGGCTGGTTATGTTAGCTGGTTATAGATAACTGTTTGGTAAAATTGGTTGTTTCGAAATGGCTGATAGAGTGTAAATTGAACCAGCCGAATGAAGAAGCTGCTCCCCTTAGCTTCTTCAACAATCCATTTTTTCAGCTTTTCAAACTCAACAAGCTAATTTTAAAAGCCATTTATCAAACATCATTATTAGCTTCTTTGACCAATCAAACAGCTGAAATGGGTCAAACAAGCTAAAAGCTGGCTGATAAGCCATTTGCCAAACATACCCTAAAACGTGAGAGCTAACGAAAATAAGAGGACCCTATAATGGATGTTAAGTAATACCTCTGTCCGTAAAGAAGTTTCTACTTTCCTTTTATGATGTCCCAAAAAGAAGTTCTCATTTCTATAAAACTAGTCACTTTTATCCCAAAAGTCACAACTACCCTTACTTTTTTTTTTTTTTTTTTTTTTATTTTTTTTTTTTTTTTTTTTTTATACTCCAGGGGGGGTCTGGGGGAGGGGGGCTGGGGGAGCCTGGAGTAATCAGGGCTGAAACTCAATCCATTGAGTTTCACACCCTTGTGTGCCTAGCGGGATTCGAACACGAGACCTCTCGCTAGGCACGGTAACCTTGCAACCAGCTAGGCTGGAGTGCTTGGTTAACTACCCTTACTTTTTACTCACTTTTTGTTTGATTTGACATAAAGTAAGAGCAATCTTGAAAAGTCAAAACAAAACTCTACCTTACATAAATATGTGTGTAGATCAAATCGAGAACTTCATTGAGGGATGGAGGGAGTATTTGATATTTCATCATTTTTTGTACACGTAGTTGTACATAAATTGATGTTTACCAAGCAATATCCTCCTGGATTTCATGCACATGGTCTTTTGGAATTATTACCCCGTTTTCGTGCATATCCATAAGCATCCAGAATACTTATTTTTGGAACTTAGAAGTTGATCTTTATTACCGTAGAAGTGGTAGAACTGCGAAATTTTGAACTTAAATTTAAGTCAAACATTGGGTGAAGAAAAAATTTCTACAAAACTTTGTTTGAAGATGTATGATTGTTGGCGGGAGAAGATCTATGAATGGGTCGAACAGCCTAAATTGGAATTGGCAAGTCAACGTTTTGGAGAAGACTTGGGCATTTGAAAAATATACACGGTATATGTTATACGTCTCTTTCAAAAGACTAAGTTTCAATTGAGATTATAGAATCTGGGGAAAATAGTGTATATGCTGTCCATTGCTCTTAAATGAACTGTAGTTTTCAAAAGTATAGTTCCCAAAATTTGAAAAAAGAGGAGTGAGAATAACAGTAATGTAAAAAGGAGTATCCATAACTCCCGTAAGTGCATCACATAATGTAGGTTGTAGAGAACATTCACCAAGTTTTCTAAAATTGTGCAGGAAAGAAACTCGATCATAAAGCCAACTAGCCAAGTTGACAAAATCGAATCTATTCAATGTGTTCATTTTTTCACTTTCAACAACCTTCCAAACTTTTGTGCTTGAAGCTTGCCTCTCACCACATTCCACAATATAACCAAACCTCTCCCCAATTGATGCGCTGGTTGGAGTAATATATAGCCTCAACTTTCATACATTAGCAAACTTTCATACCTTAGCAATTTTCTAATACGATAGTATTAACGAATTAAAGACGTTTAGCAAACGATGACAATTTTTAAAGGAGTATTGACTTACATAACTAAAAAAAAAGACTTGCATAACTCAAATGATGCATAAATGAGACACTTTAGATTAGCAACATTAAAATCGTTAATTGATAATTTAAAACTCTAGAGAAGTCACTAGAAAAAAAATTATAAAAACATTTCACATTATCACAATCACCAAATTCTTGAGAACCTCAAGTGGGAGAAATTGCAGCGCTACACCATCTCCAACTTCACTCACCTATTAATGTTAGAAATTGTTAAGAAATAACATCACACATTTCTGTTTTCTTTAATGAGCATGCGTCACTTTATGTATACAATTGGTTGTTCAAGGATAATTATACACATCTCTTTGACGAATTGAACACTCCAAACTTTTTTTTTCCTCTTCTGTGATTATTTCGTTTATACATAACTTCTTCACTCTTTTCCTATATTAGCCTCACTATTCTCCACCTTGAACAAAAAATCTCCTATCAAAGTATCAAACTCTTCTGCCTCAAAATGCTAGAATTATTTTGCACATGCAAAATTTTTAGATAAAGAGGTTTTTAACAGTGCTATCAAATAACAAAAAAGTTTCACTTTTGGTCCCATGATTATTATACTACTTTCACATTATGTTCATTAATTTCACTTTATCCACATTTAGTCCATGACCATTTGCCCCTCACCACCCGCCGTCCTTCCGGTCATAACTCCGACAATGTTTTACCGGTGAGAAATTTAATGACAAATATGAAGGGCAGTTTAGTAATTTTAGGGACTTAGAATGGTTACCTGCTAAACTAAACTCTATTTGACGCTTACCTAATTACCTTCTCTCCCTCTGAATATGAACTTAGAATAGAATCTTTTTCCCTCTCAACCACACTCCTCCATTTTCATTTTGTATAAAATTGATTCTCGACAATGTCCGAGTTGGATATTTTATATGTAGTTTAGATAAATAGGCACTCGTAACAATAACAGAGACTGTTTTTGCTCTATTTTTGAGTCATGTCACGTAAGTAATGAGTTAATTATACGCTATTTTTAAAATTTGGGGGAAAAATCAATATTACTCATCAAATTTTGCTGATTTTACGTTTAGATAATGCTAATTTTGCAGAAGTCATAACTTTTTACTCGTAATGAGTTACGGGGGCCATAATATATCAAATCGAAGATATTTCAGAGCTGTATGCTCTCAAACTTTCAGCGGGGTCGACTGACCCCCCTGACCCCCCTTGGCTCCGCCCCTGCTCATAGCTATTATTTTTTTTAATAATAATCTTTGAATGATTTTTTGAGACCTCTTGCATATACTACAATCAACACGAACAACCATAACCTAACTTCCAATGCATTTCCAAAACCTTCTCCCACAAATTCTTTGCTTTCAATGTTGTCAAAAGCTTCAATGGTTGGCCACATTTGCAATAGGCGACTGGAATTCACTCTCTATATTCATATTGACCCGTTGAATTCGTAGTTCCAGATTCACAGGTAGACAAGTTGACTTCTTTATTTAAGCTTATGGTGAGAGTGAGCAGACAATGGCTAGACAATGGCTAGCGACTGCTTGCATTGGTTTGAAAGAACTAGGGTTCATCTGTCGGATTTATGGTCGGAAGGACGATGGGCGGTGAGGGGCAAATGGTCATGGACTACATGTGGACAAGTTGAAAGTAAGGACACAGTGTAAAAGTGGTACTGCCTCCGTCCTAATATTGGGACATGAGGAGGTGACACGATTATTAAGAAAAGTGAGTTTAAGTGGTCGATATTGAATTAACAAAGTAAGAATAAAGTAAAAATTATTTAAATTCACACTAACTTTACCAAATTTGGTATAAGACGATCTTTGTGAAATTTCCTAAAAAAGTAAAATGAGACAATTAGGGGAAGTATTATGTAATACCGTATAGTTTCATTTCCAACCGGCCGTGAGGTTGGAACTGAAAATATTGTAATTCTGTTATAATAGTCATCAGACCAAAAGTGTAATTTCTTCATCAAATAACTCCCATTTCAAACCGAAAATACTGTATAGTTTCACTTCCAACCGGCCGTGAGGTTTAACAGGTAACCGGTTTAAGTGTAGCCGTATGTCAAACTAACCAAAAGAGATTGAATGGTTGGTTTGCAACTGCTTTTAAAAAAGGACTTCTCAGCTTTTGGCTTTAAAAAAACACTTATTTTCTCAAACACTTCAACTTTTATTTTTCTCGGCTTCCGCGTCAAAAGTGCTTTTACTTTTTCTATTACACAAAAAACACTTATTTTACCAAACACTACCCACTTTTACTTTTCAAAATCACTTTTTTCTCAAACACTATCAACTTTTATTTAATCACTTCTCCTCATTTCATTAAAAAAAACATTTTTTTAAAAGCAGAAACTTTTGCAAAGAGAAATTCAGGCTAAACTCAGATTCAGCAATGTCAAAAGCGGTCAATCCTAATTTTGTGAATAGGGAGTACATTATTCTGAACGGTTTTTGAATCGACGGCAAAAATCAATAGCTGTAGGCCGCGAAATAAAGACATGCACCAGAGGACATCGACGGCTAGTGGGCGGCCGTCCGGAACCGATGGCTCCGACTACTCATTCCGCATGGTGGTAGACTCTAGTAGGTTTACTTTTTCCTTTTTTATTTTGCTTCTGATAGGGTTTCGTGATCTGACCACTATAATCCAGCAATGAGTTCTTCATTTTTTAATTAGGGTACCAAAAAGTTGCTAAAGGAAAATCTCAACTTTTGAAGATAATCTTCATTCAGGTATATGCAGTCATAACTGCTTAGATTTTTGTTTGCTTTCTCTTATTGGCAATCATTAGAGTTGTGTATTTTATTGGCCGAGTTGGTGCATTTTTTAGTGTCTTCAGGATTATAATGGTTTACTATGTATTTAAACTGCACTCTTTGTTGCAGGCAGTTGTTCAATTGATAATAGCAGCACTCTCATTTTTTGGTGAAAAATGTGATTTCTGCTCTGCTGCAATAGGCTTCATCTCTCTTATAATTGGAGAATTAGGTTTATATATATTTTTTATCCTCCCATGCTTGCCCTTCATAGGTAATGACATAATGCTTGCACAATTTTTATTTCCATTAGTTGTGTGCTGAAGGTCGAAAGCGTAGCAGATCAAACTTTTTAAAGTTGTATGTGTTCGGATCATCAATAGCTGTGCTGTTTCCTGCTACATGTTTTGCCATGAGCCAGAATACTTTGGAGGTAAATATATGTGATTGTTTACTGCTCTGTACTCTAGTGATTTTAATACTTGGAACCGTGTCTATGTAGCTAAGACCCCTAAAAGCTATCTGAGCTAAATTACATTGCAAAACATTCAATATGAAACTTGATTTCTTTCATATCTCAGAAGTACAGATATCAGAATGTGTTTCTCTGACAAAACACAGATCTAGATATAACTATTCTATGATAGCTTAATAAGTGGTGTTACTCATTTACAAGATAACACAAAAATAACATTAAACAACCCCTACCATCATTCAGCTGTTGCTATTATTTTCATTATGGTGGGCCCATTACCTTCTGGGTGAAATTGCCACAACATGAGAACTCCTCACTGATGGATGCTTGCATATTTTGAAATTACATGTTAGACAAAACCTTCAAGAACAAATCAAATAGTAATAACTTAAGTCATAATTAATTTTTGAAACCATCCATTATTTATTTTGTAAAAATTAGAATGATTACATTTGCAAATCACTCCCTTCAATTTTTAAGGCTTACAAATACACCAATACATATGATCTATACGGAGTATTTTCTAAGACTGTCATGCCCTCATATTCGTATCCGTGTGTCTGCATATTTGTGCTACACAGTACACGGATATGAAGTTGTGCACAACAGTTGTCATAGAAGTTTACCTACTATTATTGAAGTGTAGATATTAGAACTCTCTTTTCTATTATGTCTCGGCATTTCGCTTCTAGGTTCTTCAAACTTTCAATAGCTTGCTGCCACCACATATTGAAGTCCTGAAGATTGCTGCTATTATACTTGGTGAGCTCCTCAAACTGAACATTTAATTTCTGAATCTTGTCTGAAATGCTCAAGTGCCCATTGTAATTACTGAGACACACTTTTTGTGTCTGTGCAGGATTTTTGGTACAGATATTCTCAGTTGCTACAACCGTATCTCTAATTTGTAATATGGCTCTTCCTAAGAGAGCTTCTTGATGGCTGGATGAACTAAAAATAGTTGAACATTGATTAATTGAGGCATCTTATCAATATGCCTGGAAGCAGATATTTCTCATACACAGAACTGATGAGAATATAAGAAGGGCATCTAATTTTTCACCGAGTTGTAACTTATAATCCACTGAATAATAAATTTTGCAGTTTTGCTTTGAACAGTGAACGATGCTGCTTTATATATCTTATGTTACATTGCTCTTTGTCCATTTATATGACTTATATTTTGGATATGCAAGGTTTGACCTCTCTTCTTACATGTAGTATTTGCTACGTTTCCAGTTGCACACATTGGTTGGCTGATTCCATGTTGCACATGGATTGTTGACATAAGAATAAATTCTATTTTTGATCTCGCGAGTTTTATACAAATCCTATTTTGTGGTTTGCCACATTTTTTGTCTACATTTAATCCTATCTATATTTTAGGTGCTTAAATCCAGCTAGCGAGGTGCTAGAAATTTTGCCTGAAGGACATTGAAATTTTGCCACATTTTTTGTCTACATTTGACTGCTAGAAATTGGCAGTACAAAAATTATCAAAATCAAGGACTTAGAACTTAGCATAAACTCAGTCTGGTCCCAGACCGAGACCGGCCGATCCCGGTTTCGGACAATTTTTTCCAAATTGCCCAATAATTTAATACTCCCTCCGTCCCAAATTGTAAGATACTTTACGGTTTACGATGTTTGACTGATGATAAAGCAAATTGATCCCTGTCAACACTCAAATTAGTTTTAGAAAATAAAATTTACATATTCAGAAACTGCATTAAAACCGCTACAAAGCCTGCAAAAAATAATTCAAATTTCATAAACTTTTGATATATAAAGTAAAAGATTGAGAGTGATTTATGTTGACCAAGTGAATAGTAAATGTATCTTACAATTTGGGACTGAGGGAGTATAAAAAAAGGACTAAAAAATAAATGTATTTGTACTTCAAAAAATTAATTGATTTGTACATTTAAAGAAACATTACTTTAAATTTGAAAAACATTACAAAATACTTCAGATTTGAAGTATACATAATACATATAATTATTTGTATAAATAAGTAATTGCTAAAAAAAGTGTAGAACAACACAAAATATTTAGAAATTCCGTACACAAAACAGTCATGGGGTTGAACTAGTCATTTTTAGTCCGTAGATACTTTTCAAACTAGTCTTATGTTATTTTTATCTTCTATCTTTTTATGCTCTTTTATTTTTTAATCTTTTATCTTTCTTATATTCATATGTTATTGTTATCTTATATTTATCTTTACCTTATTGATTTTATCTTTGTTTCCTTATCTTTCTTCTCTTTTAGCAGTGCTATCATGAATAGATTCATGTTAGCCGACCCCAAATCTTTTGGGACTAAGCAGGGGCGGAGGCAGGGGACAGGGTGGTCAACAGCCCCCCCCCCCCCCCCGAAAGTTTGACAGTATATAGCTCTGGAATACCTTCGATTTGATATATTATGGCTCTCGTGATTCGGAAAATCAGCACTATCTAAACTTAAAATGAGTGAAATTTGATGCGTAATTTTGATTATATTCCCGAATTTCAAAGATAGCGAATAATTCACTCATTGTGTGACATGACTCGGGGATAGAGTAAAGACAACCTATTTTACTGCCGCAACTGCCTACCCTCAATAGCGGATTCTTTTCAGATAAGAAAGCTTGATATTAAGTTGGGTGAGAAGGGAAGGCACGTGCTCTCATCCGAGGCAGCAACCTGTGCAGAAACATTTCGACTAAACCCGTATAAAACAACTTTATAATATATATGACATGCATATAAAATCTATATCTCTGTTAGTCTATTTTTAACTAGCATTTATCTAAAACTACATATGAAATATTTAACTCGGGTATTGTCTAAAAACGATCCATCTTTTTCATTCTATATAAAGTTGAGTTTTAACCCCCATGGGTCATTTTTCTGGCTCTGCCAATGGGACTAAGGCTTGGTTGTTGTTTTTGTTGTAGACTTTTCAAACGGTCAAAATATGTGCTCCAACATTAAAATGGAAAAAGCAAAAAGAAATGACTGTTCGGGATCGGGCCGAGCCTGAGCCCGACCGGTCCCAATCCAAAAGATGCACCCAAGATCGGGTAACGGAGTTGTGGCGGGGGGAGGGGGGGTCTCTGACAGGGACCGGAAAACCGGTCTTGGGCCTTAACATTGTTGGGCCTGATCAGGACCAGGCCGACCGGCGGACTGGGTCTACCCCAATGTAGACCAAACGTGAAAAAGTTGACTGATAAGTCTGATAAACCGAAAAATAGGGTCACCAAACGGGCTCTTACTCTTATTAACAAATGCCTTTTTTTTTTTGCTTTGAAAAATTGTCTGTTTTGGAAGAAAAAAAGTATACTATTTTTTAACACAATTTTCTTATGTTAAATATAGTTTTTTTTAAATAAGTAGAAAATAAACTTGTCTGGAACATCTATTCTAGTAGAATTTTACTCCGTAAGTCTATGGGTATGTTTGTGTGTTCGATTCAATTTTTCACTCAGAGATCAACCCGTTAAACAAAATACAAGCGGTATTATGTGAAATAGACAAAACACAAAGCACTAATTGTGTACTAAACTATTAACGTACCTTCTTTATTTCTTAATATGCAATTCGTGACTTTGTAATTTTTTTATACTACGAAATAATATAGAGTTTAATGTAAACCACATACAGAGTAGGACACATACAATGAAGTAGCACACACTACATATATATAGTGAAATCATAATAAGTGTTCCATAAGAAAGAAAACCAAACCATTGACATTTAGGTAAGCTCTACATAGCAGCTTGTGAAAATAAATTATGAAGCCAAAGTTTGTTTCATGTGTATCAGTGAGTGTATGTATTTACCTGTTACCGTGTATAGTGACAAATACATTTCAACTTGGTGGCATGTTAATTTGCTTTCATTGAGGACATCCACATGATCACAACATCCTCTTCAATGCCGGCCCAATATTTTGTACTTCATATGTTCACCCTTTGTTCTTGACTTCTCGAATATAACTAATGATAGATGCAGGAGTATACTGCCATACTGGTATTTATCTACTACCAAAAAGTGAAAGGTCAGACAAATATATATACTCAAGTAGAAAGAGAGGCCCATCTGAAACCGACACAAAACTCACACCAATGTGTGACAAAAGTTTTTACTCTTCCCGTAATTTAAAAAGTTGAGCAAACATTGCATGCCTCAAGGATAGACAAACCTTCAACATATATGTCATCATACTCGCAGAGCGGTGTCATCTGTGGCTTCAGACCTTTCCTCTTGCGGGTTTGTACAATAAGCTCAGCATCATGTGTTCCTGACTCTAATAATGGATCTGATGTTATCACTTTCCAATGGTAAAAAACGCACTGTGGGAATTCCTGCCCAGACGTGGCAGCTTGAAGAGTGCGATAGAAGACGAAAGATTCGATTGACATTTGACAACAGGAAGGTACCATGATATTGTCAAGGGGGATTCCAAGCCTCTGCATCTCCTCAAACACGGGACAAAGTTTCTGCTTCAGAACACTGTAGATGCCACCAAGAGCTTGCTCTAGCGCTTACGTCTCAAGTCTCAACTGTGTAAAATACTCATTTTTATGGAGCTATTGATAGTGGGACAAAGGTCGGGTGTTGTTCCAGAGTATCACTTATGAATTGAAGGTCCCATGTACAGATGTCAAGTACTTGCAGACTTGCAGTTATAACCGCGCACACACTGTTAGTTTCCCTTTCCACACGTGTGAGATCATTTTCAGGCCGCATAACTGCCATCTACCCTGCGGAATTGCATCAGTTTTTGCGCATGGTTTGCACATGATGTCCAAGGGTGGGCACAGTTTTTCCCAACCGGTTCTGCTTATGTATAATATACATATACATACATACATATATATATATATATATATATATATATAGATTTCAGGAAGACCTGTGAATCTTGTGATCTCAATTTTACCGTTGACCTGGGGGAATTACTGATTATGCACAATTCAGGAAACTTTCACTTGGGCGACTATTATACTCCATCCTCTAAATGTTCTTCCTTTTCTACCATTCTCCAAAAGTTCTTTATTCTTATTTCCATTTTTAGTGAAACTTTAGGCTTACTTTCCTTCAACAAAAGGAGTTTTTAAATGGGTTCTCCTCACATGGGCAGTATTAATATTAAAATGGGCTCTCAAATCTTAAAGAATCCTGATACTTTGTCCATCTGCTTACATTTGCAATACATATCAATAAGGGAAGTCCTCAAGGAATCATCATGAAGCTTACCATCCCTTATGACTTTACCATGGATCTGTCTCCCTAGTTTAAAACTAATCAAAGAAGGCACCAACTTCAGTGATATTGAAAATGTGAGCTTGTTAAAAGCAGATCCTGGTCCTTGCTGTTTTGAAAATTCATAGAGGAAATCCAATGCAAGCCTCTCAAACCCATGCAGCAAAAGTCCACTCATTATTGTATTCCAACTGGACACATCTTTCAACTCCATCCTCCAGAAAAAATCTACACATCTCTCCATATCTCCCATTGTGACATACCTGGCTAGCATTATATTCCAAGATGCTGCATTTTTTATGCCCATCGATTCGAAAAACTGTTCTGCACAATCAAATGCTTCATATTTCACATAGAAATCAAGAATAGCATTCTCCAAAGCAATATCCAAGTACATCCCACGAATGACTATCCAACCATGAAGAGACTTCCCTTTTCTCAACCCATCACTAACACTGGAACAGCACTTCAAGACACCGAATAGAGTGAATCTGTTTGGAATCACGGTTCCTTCTTTCAGCACCCTCACAAAGATACCTATAGCTTCTTGGCAGAACCCAGAACGAGCTAAGCTCGATAAAACTGTCGTCCATGTTAGAACATCTCTGTGGGGAAATTCATCGAACAGCTTATAGGCATTGTTTAAGAGATTGCTTTTTAAGTAGTGGGTCAAGATGCTGTTGCGCACATGCAGGCTACGGACTGAAGATCCATCTTTGATCGCATTGGCGTGATGTGCTGCAGCACGAGAAAGGTGATTGGACAAGGAATGATGAGAAGAAAATTGGATTTCTTCATCAACCTTCACGGAAAGTGTGGCTGCGAAACGTGCAGACATTGACGCATTGCTAGGGGCTAGAATTCCAAGAAAATTCCTACGTACTACTCGCGATGCAGAGTACACTGGGATTCGTGTCATTTCTTCAACTGGTTCTTGTGATTTGCTGCTGTAGTACATGTAAATGGTAATGATGGTATTTGCCTAGTTGGTGCCATTTTGGTTACACCAACATTATCCGTTTTTAGTCTATTAATGAAATTAAGAGGCCTTTGTCAACACGTTTTTCGGTTTATCGGACTTATCAACCATCTTTTTCACCAAACACGTAAGGTTGGAGTTACTTTTCTGGCTGTATTGGCTGAAGTTAATGTACATGACCATTTTAGCTATTTTTACATATAATTTTTTCTTTATTTTATTAATAAAATATATTTTGAAAATAATTTGTTCTTAAATCAGCAGAATCAGCCAACGCAGCCACTTCAGTCAGAACTTCATAAATTTCAGCAGAATCAGCCAAATCAGCCGATTTTTTTGCCACCAAACAGGCTCTAATACCAAAAAATGACTATCTTGCTTTTCTTTTATAACAAGTTTTTTTCCTACTCAAATCTCAATCATAATTTTTATATTTTAACAACTTTCTCAAAATAGACATCTCTATTCACAACTACCCTAGCGAGAGCTGAGGGTCGAGCGGCTTCGTCGTCTTTGTGCGGCGCTGGACGATTGCCGATCAGTGGAGCCGAGGGGCGAGTCTCGGACGACTGGTGCGACAGTGAGATGGAGGACGCATGAGATGATGGACGTAGAGAGGACCGAGAACAGGAAGACGAACATGTAGGTAAGCTCGTTGCTAAGTATGAAGGTCTGAGAATTGGGGGATTAGAGGATGAACTCCTGAATGAAGATGAAGAGGAAGGAAAATCGGCTATTGGGGCAGTGAAGGTAAAGGAATTTCCGGTGGTTGGGACGATTCTCATGAACAAAGTCATCCGATTTCCGTTCTTCAGGGATTTCATGGCTGATTTATGGCTTCCGGGCAAAGGAATCTCTATACAAGAGATCGGCGAACGGAGGTATCTGTTTAGATTCTTCCATTCTGTTGATATGAATCGTGTCCTGGATAATGGACCATGGCTGTTTGATTAGAATTTGATTGTGCTAAAAGCTGTTCAACCAGGTGATATCCCGATTAAGACGTTGCTAGATGAGTTTGAGATCTGGGTACAGGTTCATAATGTGCCAATGGTTTTGAAAATTTGGGAACGACAAGGAGAATTGGGAATCATTTGGGGGAATTTGTCACTTGGAATGATAAAAAATTTGATATAAAAAAAGGAGACTTATATGCGTGTGAGAGTCCGCATGAACACCGGTAAAGCTTTAAAGATTGGGACCACTCTAAGGAAGAGTAAGGGAGAAGGGTATTGGGTAGACTTTAAGTATGAAAAGCTGTCGAGTTTCTGCTTTTGTTGTGGTGTGATTGGAAATGCAGAGAAATTTTGCCCTCTTCTGTACGAAAACAAGGGGCAAGCTATGACTAGACCTTTTGGACTGTGGCTTAGAGCGAGTGGAAGGAAATCGAAGCGAAACATGGGTAGCAAATGACTGATTTCGGAAGGGAGCTCCTTCGGAGGTGCCACGTATACATCTAGTATAGTGAGGTCAGTGCAGGAGGTGGACCCGGATGCGATAGAAGGGAGCACCAAAGCCGGAATGGGGAATGCTATGATCTCAGGTGAGATAGAAGAGGAAGAAGCACCATGAGAGCTGAAGAGGAGACAAACTTGTGAGGATCATGCTAGGGAGGATGCTGCAAAGGATGCTATGGCGCTGGACTCCCCAAAAACGGGGTAGGGGCGGGCGGTGTCTCCAGCCCCGCCAGATGATCTGATGCTGATTACGGCTTCTTTAGCTGAGAAACTTATTTACTCTATTTATTTTGTTTTATTTATTTCCCACGTCCTGGATGTTGTTTTTGTTTTGGTTGTGGGTGTGTTTTTCCAGCAAAAAAACTAGTGAATCTAAAACAAGAGATGAGGAGTCATGTCTGCAAGTCATTAGCTCAGGTAAGCCCAAAGCGGGATGATTGAATTATATGGTTTCTACAGAGGTGATTAATTCAGAGTCTAGTCCTTGGGCGGACGGTAGACAAGAGACTTGTTGTCACTTTGTAACCTGTTTTGGTTCGATCTGTTTGATCTGTTTGATAATGATAAGTTAAGCAAGTTTCGTTAAAAAACTACTTTCTCAAAACTTGTGCTAACGCAATCATCATTATTTTGGGACGGAGGGAGAAACTATTAGAGCTCTTTTGTGGGTATTTTTTTTTTGCTTAACTAGTACAGTACCCGTGCATATACATGGGGAAATGATCCATGAATATATGTGTAATTATGATCTAATTAATTACAAAAGGAAACTAAATTTAAAAAGTTGGCATTGTTCTTAAAAGCAAGTACAATAAGTCAATATCATAAAGAGAATAGTGTAAGTTAATAAAATAAATATTAAAAGTAACATATTAAACTTACGTGTTAGAGATTTTGAAAAACATCTTTGAATACAACTTTCGTAGTAGTGTCTAATGATTTTCCTTCCTTATCATGTATTAAAATCTTTAATTTTTTAGAGCTCTTTTGTGGATATCTATTTTAGAACTCTTTAGTGGATATCTATTTTTTGCTTAATTATTAGCATTATTGATCAATTTTTTATGAAGCACGTAAATTTGAATTTCACGCGCTGAATATTGTAATAATAAGTAAAGGTCCAATGACTTTTCTGGCTGAATTACTTGAATTACTCTTTTGGGCCTTTGGCTACTTCATATAATTTTTTCTTATTTTATTAACAAAACATACTTATATTTTTAATAATATCACAAATTTCAACTGTTAGAGTTGATTCAACCAATTTTAGTGTTGTCAAATAGATTGTTAAATTAACACTATTTTTCATTTTGATGCTTTTCAGATTTTACTTTATTTAGCCATATGCCCATATTCATTAATTAGTATTGACGGAGCTAAATTCATTTGAAAATATTAATGGATTACCAAAAATCATTAAAAGTAGTAAATAGTACTTCTCAAAGAGATAGGAATGTTGACTATATTGAGCTTGATCAATCTCTTTGAAGAGTTATAGTAAAAGATAAGACATCACTATTTGGGATGGCTTGGTCACTTTCTCGTGGTTAACATGTTAGTGTGACGTGATTTACGAAATTTTCCATAAACCTCCTAAGTCCTAAGGATGCTGTTTTTTTAGTATAAATCGATCTGGGATATACATGAACTCCCTGGACAAGCTTTTACAAAGCTTTTAGGGTAAACATGCGCTCACGTTCTCTAGTCTTTTAGGGTCTTGTGTCCATGGTTAACAAGCACATGTTCTATCGTGACAAGCTTCCATCACTATTCATACAAGGTCACCATGTACTCATATTCCATAGAGATTTAACAGTATGTGTTCATGATCACCACATACAAGGGCAGATCAAGGAATTCGGATTAGAGTGGACTGATACATGAGAAATTAAACATGAGAGGGGTGGCCTAAATATGAAAAATGAAAAAACTTACACTAAAAATTTGAAAAATAAAATTAAGTTGCCCTGGGCTTCATCCCAATATAGCCTATACATTTAGGGTGATCATGCGATCATACTCATTGTGTATCTATTAGTATGTATTCATGGTCACCATGTATATGCTATATTACTGGATAGACTATCAGTTTGCATCCATGGTCACCATGCTCACCATGGATAAGTTTCAATCACCATGCACCGGCTGAGATTCATCATGCACTTATACTTCATGGACATATATTACTTGTGATTCGGGGTCATTGTGGGCATTCCTTCATTGATGCTCGTTGATCCTGACGATGAAGACCATGAATTGATATTGGGCTAGTAATTATCCTATCTAAATGTGTTAAAATACCAATTTTGTTACTTTTACAGAAGACTATCAGGGCCCTATTTATAATAGTTGGATTTCACGTTGAATCATCTCAAGTGCGATTTACAAATTTTGTCACGAAGAATAACTTCATGTATTGAGCAATTTGTGCAACCATGATTGCAAATCTTTAAATCTTTAATCTTCAAAAACTTTTAAGAGTGAATGAGAGTAAGAGTTTAAAAGGTATAGCAACTTTGTTGGTGTAAAAGTATGGGAATAAGATGTTGTGCATTATGTATTATATATTATTGTACTCTTTGTTAATGCCATCAAGGCCCATCATGTTTTCATTTTCCCGTTAAACTTACAAGCTTTGTGTTCTTGTTTTCTTTAGGTTAAAATACAAGCCGATAACGTTTGGTCATCTCTACGTCTACCTCCACCGTCCAATTCCAATAAGTTTCATTTCCATACATGTGTAGCCATTTGTCATGTATATAATATGTAAATTTATTGTCCAAATCATTTAATTCAATAAATATATTTATGTCATGTATTCATTTAATATCCCGAAAATTATTGTTGTTCACTCTTCTTTGATGATATGATTGATATCCAATTGAATTGTTGTTATGGATGTAGCTAGGGCACTGCCCTAGGACTTCAACCGACGACTTTGAGTAAATTTTAAACATGTTTCTGCAGATTGTTCGATGAGATTTTGAATTCTTGGATTATTGTTTCATGTAACTAGTTTGATAAAGTACGAGTACTCTTTTGTTACCTTCTAATTTAGTTGACATATATCCTTGTTCATTACTCTAGTATTATAAACTGATCAGACTACAATTTTAGGTTTACTAATAATACAGGTTCAAGTGTTCAATAATGAACTGCGTAGTATTAACAGGAAATGAAATATCTTTCCCCCTTCGATAGCCGCATTTCCACTACCAAAATTTGCTGAACTATGAATAGGTCTAGGAAGAGCTTCAAAGGACTTTCAGAATTCATATTTCTAGCTGCAAGTTATAAGAAACCATTGAGCTTCAAATGGTTTACCTGTCCAAATAATAAGTAGTTTGCTAACTCTTGTGGTTGACAACAAATACTAGAAAGCAATTTATTTTTTTTATTTATCAAATTGTGCTTATGCCTTACGCGGAGTTACGCTGAATGATAATTGGAAATTTGGAACAAGGTATCTTGGGCTTATGATATTTCCATTAATACGAAATAGATTCATATTGTTTTCATATCATCCTTTGCCGAAGTACTATAAGGATGTTTTTACTTGGACTGTAATTTTCTGGTCTGGACTAGTTTGGTCTGAACTGGTCTGGTATGTCCT